ATATAAAAATAATTGATAAAATTAATTATCATTTTACTTTAATCTGATCAGAATTGATAAAAATTAACCTTCGTTGTTTTTAGTATGTAAGATATAAATTTAGAACTATATGCTTGTTATCTGAAATATTTAATTTTAAACCTATCATTTTAGTTCAAATAATTAATTTTATTTTTTCAAGAAGTCATTAATTTTTTCTTATGTATTTTTAAAATGTTTAGTTGAATTTTAAATATTAATATTTGACTTATCAACTATGTTTTATTAAAAAATCTAAATTCAAAATAAATAGTGCTGTTGAAAAAATATTCTAATTTATAAAATTTATCCAAATTATTAGAATTCAAAAATTCAATATTTAAATATGTATTCTTTAATTTATTTTTAATATTCCTAAATTTAAATTGAGGTAAGTAAGTCAAATATTTGGGAAGCATAAGATAAAATCATTTTTCAATCATTTATTGTATCATTACATATTTTCATTTTTAAGAATGAATTAGGATTTAAGAAGTTTAAATTAAAATGAAATAAATCATCTATTTGGCCAAAGGATTATATATATTCTATAGTGAAACTTCTCTCCAATATACAATATATTAATTTGCAACTAGATACTATTTAGCTGAATGGGTAAATTATAAAGCTTCAAGAGTTATTGAAAAATTAGTTTATCCTTTGATAAGGATAAGTCTTTTAAATGTATTTTGAAAAAATATATTTTGGTATTGAATTATTTATGCTAATAGTATATATATAAACAGAGTTGAACCTAGATCAAGAAATAATGTAATTATTAAAAGATTTCCATATGATACCTATAATGGGATTGCTTAGAGGCAAGCAATTTATAAATTTCCAATAGCATTTTTTGATGATTAAAATCATCATTACTTCAGAGGATTACAGAGGTTTTTTTACTAAATTTCGACTTTATTTATCTAAATTTTTTCTATTTGTTCCAGTAAATAAGAAAGGAGATTAGGGGATAATTCCAATTTTATTTCTTACCTTATGCAATCCTAAGTTTTCTAATGTCTTAACTAGAATTAAATAATTTTGATTTCAAAAAATCTTCTATTTCTGGCATTCTAAAAATGGTTTGATTTTCAGGGACTGTTCTTCAATAACCAATTTTTATTACTTTAAATTTGAAATGACAATTCTTTAAGTACTAAATTAAAATTTGATCTGTATCCTCTTCATCCTTTAAAAAATCAAGATGTTTATCCTCTTCTTTAACATTTTGAGGAGGCTCTGGCATTATACCTATAATCTTTATCATTCTGTTATAAGAGTTCTAATGTGTATGAAGAATTATTTATTGAATTAATTTTCATTGTATCAAACCATTATATTTAGATAATATGAATAGTCTTCAAGTTAATAGAGCAATATTGATTTTTCTATTAATAAAAAACCTAATTTTATATCCGAGCAAATAAGAGATTGCCAATTATATCTAATACATCGAAGCTAACTTAATTTTTTTGACTATCGCATAGAGATAGATTATTTAAAAATCTATTGAGAATTCTTCCAGATGATTTTAACCAAAATATGAAACTGGTGCCAATATTAAATATTTATAATTTCTTAATGTATCCTCTGAGAAGAATATTATAGTGAATTTGTAATAAGTGTTCAAAGAATATTTTATTTGATTAAATAAAATCGTCATTTTCCTTAGATATATTATAGATCCAGCTTCTAAAGTGGAACAAAAAGAATTACTCTTACATTAAAAAATTGTTTATATCTAAAATACGTTCTTAAGGTTGTACTATTTTAGATTCTTATTTTCGAAGAATTTCTAATTCATTTGGTTGTTTTTTTTATTTATTTAAATTTATTTAATTATAAACATTCTTATTTTATATTCAATATAAAGCATGCGAGAGGTTATTTTCTTCATGATCTTTTAATAATAAAATTGGCACTGTATGTTAATCAAATATAAACTCTGATATTGTTATCCTATATAAAATATTGCGCTCTTTAGGTGTATATTTATTCTAGAAAATNTTCTAATTTATAAAATTTATCCAAATTATTAGAATTCAAAAATTCAATATTTAAATATGTATTCTTTAATTTATTTTTAATATTCCTAAATTTAAATTGAGGTAAGTAAGTCAAATATTTGGGAAGCATAAGATAAAATCATTTTTCAATCATTTATTGTATCATTACATATTTTCATTTTTAAGAATGAATTAGGATTTAAGAAGTTTAAATTAAAATGAAATAAATCATCTATTTGGCCAAAGGATTATATATATTCTATAGTGAAACTTCTCTCCAATATACAATATATTAATTTGCAACTAGATACTATTTAGCTGAATGGGTAAATTATAAAGCTTCAAGAGTTATTGAAAAATTAGTTTATCCTTTGATAAGGATAAGTCTTTTAAATGTATTTTGAAAAAATATATTTTGGTATTGAATTATTTATGCTAATAGTATATATATAAACAGAGTTGAACCTAGATCAAGAAATAATGTAATTATTAAAAGATTTCCATATGATACCTATAATGGGATTGCTTAGAGGCAAGCAATTTATAAATTTCCAATAGCATTTTTTGATGATTAAAATCATCATTACTTCAGAGGATTACAGAGGTTTTTTTACTAAATTTCGACTTTATTTATCTAAATTTTTTCTATTTGTTCCAGTAAATAAGAAAGGAGATTAGGGGATAATTCCAATTTTATTTCTTACCTTATGCAATCCTAAGTTTTCTAATGTCTTAACTAGAATTAAATAATTTTGATTTCAAAAAATCTTCTATTTCTGGCATTCTAAAAATGGTTTGATTTTCAGGGACTGTTCTTCAATAACCAATTTTTATTACTTTAAATTTGAAATGACAATTCTTTAAGTACTAAATTAAAATTTGATCTGTATCCTCTTCATCCTTTAAAAAATCAAGATGTTTATCCTCTTCTTTAACATTTTGAGGAGGCTCTGGCATTATACCTATAATCTTTATCATTCTGTTATAAGAGTTCTAATGTGTATGAAGAATTATTTATTGAATTAATTTTCATTGTATCAAACCATTATATTTAGATAATATGAATAGTCTTCAAGTTAATAGAGCAATATTGATTTTTCTATTAATAAAAAACCTAATTTTATATCCGAGCAAATAAGAGATTGCCAATTATATCTAATACATCGAAGCTAACTTAATTTTTTTGACTATCGCATAGAGATAGATTATTTAAAAATCTATTGAGAATTCTTCCAGATGATTTTAACCAAAATATGAAACTGGTGCCAATATTAAATATTTATAATTTCTTAATGTATCCTCTGAGAAGAATATTATAGTGAATTTGTAATAAGTGTTCAAAGAATATTTTATTTGATTAAATAAAATCGTCATTTTCCTTAGATATATTATAGATCCAGCTTCTAAAGTGGAACAAAAAGAATTACTCTTACATTAAAAAATTGTTTATATCTAAAATACGTTCTTAAGGTTGTACTATTTTAGATTCTTATAATCATACTTTTTTGGTAAGCATTCATAAAAGTATTTCTATGAAGATTTATTTGTGAAATTTTTTATCTCAAAATATTTTAAAAATTATGATTTAATAACAGAGAAAGTATTTTTATTTTTAATATATAATTTGAATGGGTATAAACAAAAATCGTAAATGACAATGATTCCTTAGGTTATAACAAATATGAAAAATAAAAATTTTCGAGTATTTGAATGAATAAAATATTATACATTCATATGATTAGATTGGTTGAATTAGGAAGAAGAATTAATTTTAGTATTAACCCAAAACAAAGAGTTGTTATTTAGTCTTTAGAGTCACTGTAAATGAATTAATTACAGATAAATTGCCTTCGTATAGTTTGCATTCAATACATTTAAAGATAAGTTAAATTTGAGATAGAAATGTCAAAGACATCTATCTTTTAATGACTATTGCCAAAATTTAATTATTGTAATTTTATATCTCCACTTAAATATTATATTTATTTTATTGTTGAGGTCTTCATTAAAAATGCCCTATTGAACTAACTTTCTGTATTCTTAAAAATTAAATTTGTTAATAATTAATATATATATCAGATTATTGTAATTCAAAGTCATTATAATTTTAAGTCTTTGCAAAATAAATCCAATAATTTTCAAAAGTAAAATTAAGGTGAAATTTGTGATATAAAATAACAACCTTAATTAAAAAAAAATATGTCTTAATTCTTTTTGCTAAAACTACGAAATACTTTAAATTAAATTTAGATTAAATTTGTTGCAAAGGGGAAATGAAATTCAAATAGAGGAAATTAAAACTATGTTTTTCAATGGATGTGTTCGTATAAAAAGCCCTCTGAAAATAAATATTAAAGTTTTTTATAAATTCTTTATTAAAATAAATTTACCTATTTTATCATAAAACCTAGCAATTTAACCCATTAATTTAGCAAATACATTAAATTAAATCCTTAATAAAATTGGAAATCGGCAATATATTCAAAATAAATTAAAGAGTATTCTTAAGTAAAGTTATATAATAAATCAATTAGAAATTACAAGTGGAAAATTAATAATGAATTATGAATAACTCATTAGGATATCAATAATTCTTTAAACAGAAAATTAAAAAAATGCCAAAAAATAGCTCAACTGAAAGAAATTTTATATAGATAATTAATACAAATAGGACTAAACGTCTCTTAGTTAATATACGATTTGAATATCTAATTTTTGTTCATAATTAAAATATACTTCAAATAACTCTTCTAATGGATTTGGAGGCTAATAATCAAAGACTTGTCATCTCTAGTGATTTAGAAGAAAATCCAATGGCAATTAAAATGACATTAAAAAAAGATAAAACTTGTGGAGGAAGATTCAGATGGAATTTAATTATCAATGTAGTGATAGTAGTAATGGCAAGCTTTCCTTTCTACCTTCCCTTAGCTGCTACTTTGGGAGTAAATTGTTTTTATGCTTCATTATGGATTTTATTTTTGTTTTTAGCTGCTAATACATAATCAAAAATCCACTTAACAATGAAAAAAGTTTCTAATAAGTCTGAATAACCTCCAAATCCTACTCCTATCAAATTTATATTGATGACATTTATATACAAAGAACCTTTAGAATTATTATTAAAGACCCTTCAAAATATTTAACAACAAAGAATAGCTAAAGAGATAATTATGGTTGTTTGTATGGAAGAAAAAACACCTGAAAAGGATGCAAAAATTAATTCCGTTTTCAAATAATTCAATGACTGTTTTGATTAAATCATAATAACTGTACATCCTTATGGAACACCTGGAGAAATTCCAGGTAAATGTTCTAATAACAATTATGCCATTAGATCTGTTTTAGCTCATCTAAAAAAAAATGACCCTAACCTTGACCCAAATAAATACTTTGTAACTAACTTTGATGTTGACACAATTTTTCATAAAGACTTTCTTGATATCTAAATAATGAACATTCTCAAAGAGAAAGATAGAAACAACTTTGTTTGGTAACCAGTTCTATTTTATAATTGGGGACTTGATAAACTTAGTTTTTTTACAAGAATTACAGGATTAGCAAGAAATATCTTAATGATGGGAGCCTTAATTCCTTTAAACTTAAATATCATGAGTGTCTATACATCTTCCTTATAATTACAAATAGAAGGGGGTTTTTGTCATCCAACATATTAGATGGATGACATTATGTGCTATGTTAGATGGCTTACATTAAGTAGAAGATCTCTTAAGATAAAACCAATATATTGTCCTACTATTTCAGGACCTACTTCTGGTTCAAATATGTGGTAAGAATTCATTGAATGGTTTAGACAAAATAAAAGATGGAGTATAGGATTTGCTGAAGTTTTCCATTATTTTGTTATTAAAGCACCAAGAATTAATTTTTGCTCTGCCTTAACATGGGCTTGCAATTATCTCAATTATTATGCATCTTTTATTTGTGTTTAAAGTTTATTGTTGATAACAACTACTATAAGGCTCTTTGTTATGGAAACTGATCCTTTATTAAAGCTATATTTTTGTATCCCTTTAATTGTTGTATATATATGCCTTTTTTTCATGATTGTCATAAATAAAATTGCTGTAAAATATCTACTTAAAGATATTGTTGTTGAAAATATCCCAATTTGGAAAGATTTCATTCATTGGATTTTGAGTCTCATAGTGATGGTTGGATATGGACTAACAGTGTTTTATGGATTTTGGGAAATTTTCTTTTGTGGTAAAGGTGTATGTACTCATGATCCCTCAAAGAAGAAATTACTTGATAACATTGTCCAACGCAAAGATGAAACTGTGGTAGCGATTAATGAATAACAGAATAAATTATGATATAATTATGTAAATGTAATGATAACATAATTTATTATTTTTTTCTTAAATTATTGGTTTTATTCATTTAATATAAAGCTGATACATTTTATTACCATTTGTTTATTTTTAAGGAAAACTATAATATTTGTAATACATTAATTTGCAATTTTATAATCTAGGAGAATATATTAAGTAAGTAACTTTAATATTAATTTGATTTCTAATCTACACTTCTAAATACCTAACACGATTGTTTAAATCATAGATTGTATAATAATTTAATAATTAAGTTTTAGATTATTCTATATTTCCACCTCCCGAAAAATTGTTGTGATATTAACAAGGTAGTTTGATTTTCAAGTTTTCTCAAATATTTTTCCATATAAATCTGCAACATAATTCTAATATTGCCTATAAAGGCTATAGTAAAAATAAAACAAACTCAAAACACTGTTATACTCTTATGGATCTATGTCTATTGTAAATGAATGTTGAACATTATCATTAATCCAATTTTTTAGTAATTATCTTTAAAGAAACATTTATGCAATCATATTAAATTAGATTGAGACTTAGAGATGATTCTTCAACTGCACTATGTAAATAGAAGCAATCACTATTTAATAATCTAACACTTCTAACTTAAAGTATATTTATTAAGGGATGATATATTGAGCATAATTCATATCTAAAGGCTGTTGAAAATGATGTGGCAGCTGAATTCCTGATACCGTAATCGATTTTTAGGTCTAATAATATAAAGATATCATTTCTAAAATATTATTTATTTCATTCAAAGAATTCGATTAGAATAAAACTAATAAAATGATTCAAGAGGATGGCGAGACGTATGAATGATATTTAAAAAAATATATTAGTTTTGATTATAAATTTCGAACAAAATTAAATGTTAGAAGATCACATTAAGGAGGCTATTTATTTTTTTTAATAGAATAATTTAAGATTTAGCTTAAACTTAAAATAGCAAAGCCTTTTTAATTTATATTAATAAATAATCAACTTTTTTTAAATAGAAAACTCACTATATTATAACTCTTAACCATAACATTTTAGTAGTTAAAATCTTTTGAATAATGATATTTTTATCTTTCATTTTAATCAATTGTTGAATACTTTCTAGTCTAGTATTATCATTGGTTAAAGGTTCTTCATATTGATTTCTGATTTTGTTATGATAATTCATAAATAAATAAGGTTATTTGTTGCACTTAATTTTAGAATTCATTTAATATCCCAACTCTTAAACAACACTTTATATATTAATTTAAATTTTTAATTCAATCAATGACAATAATCCAACTGAATTTTTAATCTATAGAAATATGATCCAAAAGAATTAAAAAAATAATATTTGTAAAATAATTTATAGTAGTATATAAAAACAATAATTAAATCTGAAGAAGCATCATAAAAAGTAATTTGAATATATAAGTTCATTTTATTATTTTCTCATTCTAATTAAATGATTTAAAGTTAGAAATTTTAATACTTTGAAGGAGCATTAATATTATTGCAAGATTAATTCGATTTTAAATGATTATATGGAATTACAATAAACCAAATTAAATCGATTCTTTATCTAAAAATAATTGAATATATTCCTAACCATATAAATATAAATTATTAAAATCCAATTGATCAGAAAATATTATTCATTAATTATCTAAATTTTGAATATTTCTTTTTTAATTGAGATTTTTGAACTCATTTATTCTTGATATATTTATTTATTAAATAATGAACTTTTTAATATTCATAAAACTACATTTCTCCCCAAAATTATCAAATATCAACTGGATTTTGTGATAATATTGCTTTTGTTATTAGAACTCTTAATTTTAAATTTAATTTCCATATTTAACTTATGGAAATCTAAATTTTACATCATCAAATATAAATTATGTATAAGTTTCAATTAGAAATATTTATATTTCAGATCCATTTGAAAGATATTATTTATGTAAATCATGTTTAGGAGAAAATTACAGTTATTTTAGAATTTGTTATTATAGATAATCAGCAAACTATGTTTGTCCACCCTTCCCATCAAAATAATTTTTTTTTTGAGAAAAAATATGGATGCCGAAATAATTGTGATATCTAATAACCATTATATTAAAAAGGATTTTGCAACCCTTATCCTAGAAATTATAATTGAAATATCTTAGTTTAGAAATTTTCAGAAGATTTGGTATCAACTATATTAAATTAATGGTTTATTATATATGACCCAGAACATGTAGATACATCTCCAACTATTCTAGACTCTGGGATATATGACGTATTTGAGTTTAATTCTGGTATCTATAAATATTATTGGTTCTATTTATAGAGATGAATCTGGTATTTAAACACATAATTTAATAATCTATTCTACTTCTAGCTTTACTTCATCATTAACTTATACTTCAATTAAAAAGTTATCTTTAATTACAAAAATATACATTTCGATTTTCCATTTCTATTTTCAGTAAAAGAAAATACACATAAAATGAATAAATTATAAATTAGAGATGACACAGTAGAATGGGGATTATAAATTTTTTATGTAATATCAGGATATTGTCCTTAATATTGTTAATTGTGTGAGGTATTATTGAAATGTAAGATTTGTCAAAGTGGTTACTTTAAATATAAGGAAAATACTTGCATAAGCGGATGCGATTAACCATATCAAAAATTAATGGTTCTTATTGATAAGATTTTGATGATGAAACATCATGTATCATTATATTCTATGTGTATCTAGACTCTGATTATTTAACTTATAATTTTCTAAATAATACTTTCGATCCTTATTACGAATGAATTTATAATACTATGGTTTGTATACACTACTCTATTAAAATGGGACGAATTTTATTAAATCTCAGATATCTATTATTCATATTTCAATAATCTAAGAATATTTGGAGGGCTTACATATGGGCATAGGCTAAATTTTATAGGATTCATGAAATAATTGATCCTCATCATAGTATCACAATTCCATTTTATATACTTTATGGACCAGCATTCCCTTCTGATGGATTATTTATATATAAAAATGAAAATAATCCACCAATTTCCAAATCCAGTAATAGTTTTTAGGGTTCAAATAATTTAGGAGGAAAATATGATTAAGTATATGAAAGCACAAATCATGACTCAAATACATTCACAATAAGCTGGGAATGTTTTGGGTCAAATAATGAACAATTCAAGCTTATTGTGGATTTTATAATTATTACATTGCTATTCATAAGTGCTAGCTCTATAGTTTATAATAATCTGATTAGAGTACATGTAAATAATGGAATAGTGATTATGATTTAATTGTAGTTAAATTCTCTTAAGAAGAAAGTTTAAGTAACCAATATTATGATAAGGATTCTGTTTGATGTTTAGATTGTCCAATATCTTGTTTAACATGTGTCTCAAATAGATTGTTAAACATGCTAATCTACTTTTATATAAACTAAATTAGGATGCATTTTAAATTCTATTAATTGGAAGATTCAAATTAATATTTTGATTGTCCATTTGAATGTAATCAATGTTTAAATTTAAGCAACTGTATAAATTGTCAAATCGGCTTCTATTACTAAGAATTTTTTAAACCATGCTCCTATGTTAAACTTGTTATAGAGCAATAATTGATTGTTGTTTAAGTTGTGATATTAATTTATATAGAATATTAAAAGGAGTAAAATGTGAATGTAAACCTGGTTATTATGAATTTTTTATTAAATACATATTATTTATTATGTATTAATGATTTATAATTATGGCATACAATTACCTGTATTTCTTATGATTCTGGATTTCATTTAGTATTTGGAAAATGTGAACCCATATACAGATAACCTTTTAGCTTATTTAATTTAATTTTTATTTGTTCATTTACAAGTTAATATAAGCATGACTAACTTGATTCTTGAATTATTAATTATTCTGCAAAACCATACTAGCAATTTCATTAAATGATATTCCAATAATTATACTATACAAAAAAATAAATTTATCAATAATATTTAAAAGTCAAAAATATACCAATTTTGTTTTTATCTAGTCGTTCAATAAAACCTTTAAGTTTAGATTTCATTATTGTATTTTATAGAATCTAGCTTTTTATCAAATGTAATAAATTGCAATTGAATAGATTAATATTTTCTATAATAAGAATAATAAATGAAAATTTCATTTTTTTTGAGATCCAACGAAAACATCCTTGGTCACACAGAAGATATAGTAT